GTGGGGGACACAGCCGGGCGGGAGGACCTTCCGAGCCACTCTGCTCGGATGAGCCATCTCAGCATCTGCCCCAGGCCCCTGACGTCTCCCACGCCCCTCTCCGCGTCTTCGCCTTAATGGAGCACATGAGATGCGCAGATGCTCGCTGGTCGGGAGAGCTCGCGGGTCGGGAGAGCCAGGGAGAGACCTGTTGACCTGCCTTAACCGCGTCGCGGTTCATTGCATTGTCACAGTAACAACTCAGGACGGTTTTACAAACATCACTTCGGCGAGAGCACTTTAGAACAGGATCTGTAACGTAGCTGGACCCCTGCCCGGCTCCACCGATGCTTGTTTCTACTTTTGTTGTCGTTGTTGTTTGAGACAGGGTCTTGCCATACAGCCCAGGCTGGCCTCCAGCTCGCAGCCATCCTTCTGCCTCAGCCTCCTGAGTGCTGGGATTACAGACGTGTGCCACCACGCCCGGCTGATGCTTGTGTCTCAGTGTCCAGAAGACGGGTACATTTTAGAGAGGTGCTGTGTGCCGGCGTGTTCTGGGATGACTTGCAGGGTCAAGTAAAATAGGCCTCAAGGTCCTTGGCTGGAAGGAAATACCTTTCCCGAAGTCTTTGCAGACGGTGTGATGCAGGAGATTTGATTAGGATAAAAATTGAAAGATTTATGGGGCCCGGAGATCCGCGGTAGGCGGCTTGAGCGGCCCCACCTCAGGCGCTGAGCCGGCAGTTTGCCAGTTCCAGTGGTGTCTCCATCCCCCCACCACCCCAAGTAGCAAAGAGCGTCAAAGTCCACGGGCCACATGCTCTGTCACTGGGGTCTGCAGAATGCTGGAGCCAGCCGTGGAGACCCAGCCTTGCTCACACGCTGCTCCCTCAGCAGCCTACGCCAGTCGAAGCTGCCAAGGCAGGTCTGAGTCTATCATGTCCACCCTTTTACTTTTTGTGATGGGGGGGGTCGACTGTCCTCAGACCCGAGGGTGATGAGCAGAGGTGGGGAGGCGGGAGGGAAGCAGAGAGAACTCCTGGCTTGTGGCATCTGGTCTAGGCGCTTGGGTGAGTTCGACTGATCAACTTCCTGCAGGCTGGGACGGAAATGAGCCATTGGAACACAGGCTAAAAGCTCTTGGTTTTTTTCAGCAGGACCTCAGGTTGTCTATTTTACCGGCAAATTCCAGGTCCGGAACATCTGTTTGGCCCCTGTATGAGGTGAAACTTCAGTCATCTGCACTCTGTGTAAAGAGGGCCTGAGACCAGACATCTCTGGGGACCAAGTTCTCCAGAAGTGACATCTCCTCCAGAGGGGCCTTGGAACACGAGCGACACACGACCCAGGCCGCCTTGGCCCTCCCGCTCTTCACAGCTGCGCGACACAACAGTGCCTTCACCAATGAAACCTCTGGAGATGAGGCTGCGTTACAGTGAGCATGGTGTGTGACACAGAAGAACAGCTTCATAAATCATCAAGCAGTGCTGTAATACATCAGGGGGCTCTGCTGCAGTGTTCCTGCTGATCTAGGCAGTCGGGGACCAAATGTCTTCAGGCACAATTCTGCTTTGTTCCCCAGAGTTGAAGGCAAAGGAGTGCAGGCTCCCTGCCTGGAGACCCCGCCTCCCTCCACTGCAGGGATTCTGAGGCCTCTTGCTTTCTGACCCTCTCCACCACAAAATTCGTTTCACAACATTACTTGTTGAGGGCCTTCTAAATGTCCGATAAAGGAATTAGAGGCAACACACACACACACACACACACACACACACACACACACACAGAGGGAGAAGAGCAAATATTTATACCAATGTCTCACAGAGTGCCATAAGTGTAAAAGAAGAACAAAATGGCGTGAAATCACGTAAGAAGGAGGCCTGTCTGCTGTGATGAGGAGGGTGACATTGGAACATGTGCAGTTTCTAAGAAAAGAGTTTGGTACCTTCAAGGAGCAAAAAGAAGGCTAGCACATCCAGCCAGAGAGTGAGGGCCAGAGGCCAGGAAGCGGGGCAGGAAGTCTCTCGGAGGAGGGTAGGGTTGGGCTGATGGTTTTTCTTTATTATAACAACACTGGGAACTCCAGAGTATTTCCAAGAGGAAGGTTAGGAAGCCATGTACATTTTTAAAGACTAGGTAGGAGGGGAAGAAACTCAGATGAAGGAGATAACTAGGAGGCTAGGAAGCAGTCAAGGCCATAGGTGGCGCTGATTTAGATTGGGCAGAGGTGGTAGACATAGCACACAGCAGGTTTTCTGCCTATTTAGGGGACAAATCAGCGGCACTGGGTTGGATAGGAAATGGGATGAGGGACAGGGCAGTATCAGGGTGATTTCTCGTGGGTGTGTTCCATGGCTAGAGATACCAGAAACTGGGATCTGGAAAACAGAAAGACTTGGATTTAGAAAAGCAGGGATGATTACAAGTTTGGCATCTATTCATGGATTAACTGTTTGCAATTGGCAGCAAAAAATGATTTTGCTCTATTTTGGTTGAAGGACACTGAACTCTAGGAATTGCAGGTGTATATTGTTCTAAGGGATGGAGTAGAGAATGTTTTGGGAGGGAGACCGCTGGTATTTTACCCTGCTCCGCCATCTGAAGAGGGCGCTTTGATTGCTGGGCACTCTGACGCCCAGGCCAGGGCAGGGCTGAACGTCCTACACCATGAAAAGCTAAGACAGTTGCTGTCTTGAGGGAAAACCACTAAGGCTGCGCAGGAGACAAGGTTGGGTCCGGATAAGCTGGCTCCAGGGAAGGCACAGACTGGCTGGCAGTGGGTGGAGGGGCCCGGGGGAACAGAAGTGTGGGAGGAAGAGGGAATGGGGTGCTTTGGGAAGAGGAGCTCACTGCAGGGCCTCTTTCTCACCTGTCCAGAGTCTTCTGTGGAGTTTTTCTTTTCTCCCTACAGACAGAGGTGACACTGGAGCTGCCTGGAGGCCAGCACAACGTGAGCCACTCTCCGCCAGAGGTGGGGCTGGAACTGCAACCTGATCTCCGTGCTGGGAAGGGGAGAGAGGAGGCCAGCTGTTTCCTTCTGCCATCTTTTAATTTAAAACTATGTAGATGAGGGTGCTGTGTATCAGATGAACTCATATACCGCAATGCTGAGTGACTTTCAAAAAAGGAAGACCTCTTGGCACGGTCCTTTTTAAAAAAGATAGCACGCTGAATATCCCCGACCCCACCTTTTTGGGTTATCGTAGGGGTGGAGTGCAGATCTGCATGCTGCCTCACATGGTCATTCCTTCATCAGAAATGTGAGCACTTTTTCTGTTAGGCAGGGCTACAGAGATATAAAAATGATGTGTTCCTTCACACATTCTTAGGAAAACTACCATTTAGCGGGAAGAGGCTGTCTAGCTCATTTTCTGTTGCTGTAACTGAATACTATAAGCTGAGTAATTGACAAAAACCAGAGGTTTATTCAGCTTATGGTTCTGAGGGCTGGAACTTCAAAAGTGGATAGCTGCATCTGGTGAAGGGCCACTGTCGGGGAGCAGATCTTCACAGAAGGCCAAGGCACGGAGGGCAGCACAGGGCTAGGGCAGCTGTGTGTGCTAGCTGAGCTCCGTCTTGTCTTAGAAGGCCACAGCCCCACTGGGTTGGGCCTCATTGTGGCCTCATTTAACCTGTATTGCCTCTCAAACTCTCCATTTTTTTTGTCTTTTTGAGCCGGGGTCTCGCTATGTACTTCAGGCTGACCTTGAGCTCACTTTGTAGTCCAGCTGGCCTCGAACTCAAAAAGATCTTCTTGCCTCAGCCTCCCAAGTGCTGGGATTACAGGCGTGCGCCACCACACCCGGCAAACCTTCCATTTCTTACAGTGGGGACATTTAAGCCAAAGCAGAGGCAAAGAGAAGGAAGCAGTGCAGTGTGACCCTTGCTGTAAAAGGGAGTGGGGAACCAGAAAGGGCTGTGATCAGCCTGGGAGTGCAGGGAGGTGACACTTGTGTGTTGTCCCAGCAGATGTAAAGAGGGATTTTTTTTTCCTTTTCAGGCAGGGTCTGGCTCTGTAGTTTAGGTTGGCCTTGAACTCACTTTGTAGACCAGGTTGGCCTTGAGCTTTCAGTGATCCTCCTGCCTCGGCCTCCCGAGTACTGGGGTTATAGGCATGAACCATCATGCCCAGTCAAGAGGGAATTTTTTTACTTGGTGTTTGGAAGAAAAAAAAGTTGAGGTCAATTAAAGTAGAAACATACTGGATCTTAAACAGCTTGTTCAATTGCCAGGAAGCTTGCAAAGCCAGTTTTGGAAAATGGAGCAGGCATGAGTTCAGCTAGGTAGGGGGCAAGGTCACAGCAGCAATGATGCCACGTGGCCCGTCTGGAGCACACACTGTCGTCGGCTGCCAACCACCTGTCAGCCTCAGCCGCACCTGGCATCACTGCCCCTCGCAATCCCTGTGTGCGGTGCGCCAGGAAAAGGTGGCTTCCGGGGATGGAGTCAGAGAAACCGAGACCTCTCCCCAGGTTTCTGCCGGTCACCAGGATAGGTTATGCCTCGGGACCTTTTGTATGGCTGGCTCCTGATTGGCAGTCAGGTGAGCACACCTGATTGGCTGGGCCCATGTCACATGCTGCCTCTGGCTGCAAGTGGGACTGGGAAAGCAGGTGTGCGGCTTTATTTTTTTTTTTTTTAATCTTTTATGCAGGGCTAAAGATTGCAGCCTCACACCTAGATTTAAGAGGGCAAGTCTCCCCAGTAGGAAGAGGTATCAAGTGGTGGGCAGCCCTCGTTCCCCAATGAGAGAACAGAAGTGAAGCCAAGAGAAGTACAGTCCAGGTAGTTGTATGAGGCCATGGGAAAAAAATCAGTCCAAAGGCAAGATCCCAAGGACGCTGCAGCGGAGCTGCCGAGAACTCAGAAGGAGAAGGGGAAGAGGGAGAGCTGGGAACGCAGGCAGGGACATTTTCTTCGAAGGCCCTATGCTTCGAAGTTTGATTCTCCTGTTGCAGGAGCGTGGCAGAGACAGCTGGCTGTCCACTCAGTAACATCTATCTCTTCTCCTTACCCGTGGAATTCCAATTTTGATTTAGGTTGCATTAATACTCAGCTAGCAATATGTACTTCTTAGTTTCTTCTAGATATAGTAGCCATTTTACATAGTTTGGATAAATGAGCTGTAAGTGGAGATTCTGCATTCTTGGCTGAATGCAGAGTGAAGTCTGGAGGCGAATCAGCCGTACTGGAACTATGAAGCACACACCGGGGATAAGGGCGGCCTGTTACAAACAGCAAAGCACAAGATGGAAAGAATGCTGCTTCTTGTCCCATTTGGGAATTTCCCTTTCTTCTTCCCATCCAGTTATGTACTTTAAACATCATATCTCTCATATTTACTCGAAACCATAACATTAACTTACCAAGAAAAAAAGAGTTCTCAAATGAAGCTTTTATACCTGATAGAACACCATTTAAAAGAAAAATTGGGCCAGACGTGGTGGACACACCTGTAGTCCCATCACTTGGGAGGCTGAGGCAGGAGGATCACTGTGAGTTCAAGCATGCTAAACAACGCCAAGTGGCTCCCCCATCCGGGGGTTTGAGAGTGACTCAGCGAGGCGAAGACCCACAAAGACCGAAAGCGCGGTGTGCATGTGTCACCGAGTGTCACTGGGCCGGAGCTGTGCACCGATCGCGTTCTGACGCTCTGATGAAATGTTTCAGATAATTATAAGAAAACGGCTCAGGCCCGGCGCGGGGGCCACGCCGGTACCTCCAATTTGGGAGGCCGAGGCAGGAGGACGGCCGGGTCGTGCCAGCCTCGGCGCTTCCGGCACTGAGCCCTCCGCGGGGCGCGAAACGATCGCCTCTCCAACCCGGAACGACGAGCCAGGGCTACGAGCCGGGAAGACCTGGGGAGCTCGCGGCCTGCGCCGGGGTCCGCCCTGGGCCGCGCGGGACCCGCTCGTTACCGCGGAAAGCGCCCGGGCCGGGCAGCGCGGGCGACGGGGCGGGAGCGCGCGGGCGGGCTCCGGGGAGTCACGGCACAGCCCTGGTCAGCGCGGGAAGCCGGGAGAGCTGCGAAAGCAGAAGCTGTTAGGAAAATGAAACCCCGGCGGCGTCCTGGAGTCCGTCCCCCCGCCCCGGATAAAAGGGAAAAAAGGGAAGCGGCGCTTCCGCAGCGAGCAGGGTTCGAACCTGCGCGGGGAGACCCCATTGGATTTCAAGTCCAACGCCTTAACCACTCGGCCATCGCTGCCACGGGGAGGGAGGCGGGCGCAGACACCTTAGTGCGAGCCATGCGCCGCGGCGGAGGGCGGGGCCGAAGGGCGCGAGACTGCGGCGCACGCGCGTTCGTACGGGGATGCCTACGGAGGGGCGCACGGGGCCACGCAGCCGCCCCAGCGCAGCGCTCAGGGTCCCAGCCTAGCGGGGTTTTCGCCGCGGCCCGGGTTCCTCCCTCCGGCTCTGTTGGCATTACTAAGACGCTAACGCCAAACAGGAGCCTGCGGCGTTCTGCTGTACGCCCGCCCTCAGGAGAAGCCGCCTTTCTGGGAGGGCGGCGGCGGCCCGCGCCCCCGCCGCA